TACAGTATCGTTATCCTTCTCATTATATATTGATCTAGCTTAGTTAGATATGTACTTCATTTAGTTGCTAGTAAAGCTTTTACTCATAAGAGAAAAGAAGCTCGCGGAATATCTACTTTTGTAGTGAATGATTGAGGCTGCTTAGTGGTTTCGCTCGCATGGGGCGAATTAATAGCCTTTAAGAAAAGGCCTGTCTTCGATACTACCCCGAAGTGGCCGTCGACGATATCGATTTTATCCGATAGGCTAGCGGAATCGGGCTCTTGGTCGCTATTTTGAACCACGCCGATGGCCGTTGTTGGTGTAATCTTCTGGCTTAGCTCAATCTCGTTCTTCGTCCAATGCGGTTCGATGCAGAACATAAGATATGAACCCGGTGTTACAAGACCCTCAGATGAGTTAGGATTATTACGTTCATGGAATGCTCTTATGAACATCTCAACATCATCCTGATCTGGTAACGAATAGTTTGTCTCTGGGTCGAGAGAGAGTAGTCCTTGTTTGAGGCCCCAGCCTCCTCCTCCACTAACTGCGTATTCGTTAGCTTAATTGTTCATCCTTAGACAAATTTGTCACATACGAATTTTATGCAATCGGCACCCAGACGACAGTAACTCAGAAAACACATCCATAGCCTCAAGCGATAGCTCCGCTTCCGACTGAGATAGTTCAGCTTCGAAGACTTTTAGGCCAAGGAGGTTATGCTTTTCCACAACATCCGGGGGTATGACCCAACACCATACTCCTATAGGTCCGGGTGAGTATGATGTGTCCCGTTCAGACCTCGTGTCAAAAACTTTCGGTATTAGAGCCTCTAACTCTTTTGATGCCGGTGTCGTAGTACCGTTGACTTCGACCTGTCGAACGATATTACCTAACCCAGCAACAATCTTCCGAGGGGGAGTCAACGGTAACAAAGGTAGGAAGGGCTTTATATGACCCTCCGAAATTTCGCGGAGGCATATCCTTTGATGCTGTTTCTCCTCTATATCCGTACGCCTTATAGAACCCTTCTCATCACGCTGCCATCTGCTCGCAAATAGGGTGGATCGTCTCCCATTTTGGAAAATTGTATTTGCTAGCGGTATTGTGATCTCGAGCGGCTTAGTATCCTTAGGTAGGGGATTTGATAGGAACGACACGGAAGACTCCCTATCCTGGCTGATATTCGATCCAGAATCGTCAGCAGACCATATGCCAGGAAGAATGTCGTTCGAGCCATATAATATCGAGAGACCGGTCCGAGGCTCGCTGAATAGTCGTGTTGGAGTAAGTCCGTCTGTTACCGCACACAAAACATTGATGGGGATTGAATTATCCTGTATGCTAATCGTCGACTTAAAGAGACCCCCAAGCACGCCACATAAGAAGCTCTCGTCTTCTAACCAGGTTGCGAAGTCGCGGGAAGCAAAAATAGCTGCCCCATAGCCGAAGTTTCCTGCATTCCGTACACTTGCAGATACCTTAGGCAAACTTACAGAATGGTTACTTAATCTATCTATGACCGTTTGCTATATATATGTTAATAAAGCTCTATAATTTTAGGATATATCAAACTGACTTTTGTAACCTTTGTCGATAACGCGAGACTAATCTTTTCAACGGTATAAGGTTGACTTCCAAAGCTTCGTTTATATAAACCATGGTACCTAGTTATAAGACGATAGTTAAATATACGAGGCCGCATATTGTTGAGACTCCCGGACCATCGGTCTTGACTGTATTATGTAGGCTGGACTGTCCGAATGGTTGTATTCCCGCTATGCCGAAGTTTTGCATTTGACCAATCACATCCGATTACACCTTATCCATAGGTAAGTTGTGGCTAATATTTTATAGAGAGCACTTGTCCCTACGTGTATGATGTATCTTATGATGCAACTATCTTATAATTCATCATACTTTAGGCACCTAAGGTAAAGATATCAAGAAGTCGTCATTGATTTTCTAGGGATGCTGCATTCCTTGTAAAATGATAAACGTCCAATGTTACCACAGACGTTTCGAGGATTTCCCGTTGGTGGTACTTTGTGGCGCATGCTTTTACCAAGAAAAAAAAAAAAAGAAAAAGAAAGAAGAAAAAGAATAAACTTCAGCTGTGTTTCTACGAGATCCCCACTGCTTTTTGTCCAATTAGGGTCTAATTAGGGGGAGTCGTGGTCCCTTACACTGCGCCTACCTACAGGCCTACCTAATGGTAAAACGCCTACGGACCGACGCTTATCTTAAGCAATGACCCTACATAATAAGTGTTGATGCGCCTCGACGGCGTCGGCGCATCCTATTTAGCTTTATAACCGTCTCTTTATAACCCCATCAATTTAATTTTATAATTAAATGGCGGACCTAACTATCCGTAACCTCACAATCACTCCGCTAGAGCTTAAGCTCGTGGAGAGGTTTGAAGGACAACCCTCATCTGGTCGTCGTACCCCCGTCGGTAACATCACGAGCAAGATCACCGGTATTTTCAACTCTACACCCGTTGCGACTAATGTGCGCATCCAGGGCGAGGCTATAGACCGCCGTGATGTTTTCATCCCTATCGGACGCTTTGAGACCCGGGTTACGGATGTTCGCGCGCCTGACCCGGGCCGAGAAGTCATTCGCTTGACTTTCGAGTCTGAAGGGCACCGATACCAAGTAGACGTGCCGAGTGCTTCACAGCGCAGCACGGTCATGACAAAGCTGGATAACGCCCCCAACGAATACACAGCGATCTACGTACAGGCCGGCAGTTGCCTTGCCATATTCAGTTCCACTAACCTCTCGAGTTGGATGAGTGAGCTGCGCGACGAATACCCTTTGTCGGCTCTGTCCATACCGGGTACACACAACAGCCCGACTTGCCACGTCGCACTGCCTTCAGTCCGATGCCAAGCGGTCAATGTGCGTGAACAACTGGAGAACGGCGTGCGGTTCTTCGATATCCGCGTAAACGTTAGCACAGATTCTTCGGAACTGGCACTTGTGCATAGCGCATTCCCCATCTCACTAACGGGAAGCAAATACTTTAAGGATATGCTAGATGTTATTTACTCTTTCTTAGACGCTAATCCGTCTGAGGCCCTTATTATGAGCGTGAAGCGCGAAGGTACTGGTAAAGGCACCGACCAGCAGCTGTCCAAGATCCTCAAGGAGCGCTTCTACGGGGATGGAAAACGATGGTACACAGAACCGCGTATTCCAAAGATTAGCGAAGTACGAGGTAAAATCGTGCTGCTTAGGCGGCACCATAACGACCCAAGCCTGGATAGCGAATGGGGAGGCAGAGGATGGGCACTCGATGGTAGTGTGTGGCCGGACAACTGTGAAAATGGACTACTTGGAAGTGGCATTGCTCGTATACAAGATTTTTACGAAGTTGACCAGAATAAGAACATTCAAACGAAAATCGAATTCGCGCGAGAGCATCTTGAACGCGCAGCCGAACCAGTGTGTCCCCTTCCAGGAAGTGAAGGCTACAAGGACAACGCACCGGCTCAGCCCTTCTATGTGAATTTCTTAAGTGCCAGCAATTTCTTCAATACTAACTGTTGGCCCGAGAAGATTGCGGCCAAAGCAAACCCAGCCATTATCGAGTATCTATGTTTACGACACGGGGCTGACGGCAAGGGGCCGAAAGGCCTGAAGGTGGGTGACGGGAGCACTGGCGTGGTAGTTACGGATTGGGTTGGTCTAGATGGTGATTGGGACCTTATAAGATGCATTGTCGGTTGGAACGCGAGATTGCAGTTAAAGCAATAATCTTTGGTCTAGACTATACTCCTCAGTTGCTTTCTTGAGTTTGGTAGCTGGTGTGTTTCGAAAACCCAATCTACACTTTTAGAGAGACTATATTAGGTAGAATAGATAGAATAGGCTTGGGTATTAATTACATGTCTTAGCTACTTTTATATAGATATTAATATACACACCACGTTATATCGATAATGTCTAATATATACTATAAGGTAAAGTGCTTATCTAATGTATGTGGTATAACTAGTTAAGTGAAATTGTCTAATAACGAAACTTCTTTTCCTTTTCTCCTTTTAACATTTGAGCTTGAAGGTCCGAAATACTAAATCGACAACCATTTTCTTTACATCAGCTTGGCCCGAAGTGAAACGAGAAAGATAATTCTTATCGTCGAAACAATCTCATAAAAATATGCGCTATTATATTAAATGATATGAAATATGGACTGAAATGGTAAGATAATTACCTCTGAAAGGAAGCTTGTGATGTCCTATTTGCTTTAATTTCTGCGGTACTACAGCTCTAGAGAAGCATTTCGGAGGTTTCGGCCAATGCATTTGCACATGCTAGCGCGATACGTCATATTGATACTTACAACGATGAGCTTGTAAGCTAAGCCCCACTGCACCTAAAATTACCTACAGCTACCCTACTATTCAGCTATTGTATGTACCGTAATCCGTAATTCGTACAAACAATTCAGCTCCCAGTGCACTGGGTCCGTTTTCAGTTGTTCGAGTTGTGCTAGACGGGATTCCTTCGCCGTCTTACTTCATTTCTGGACTGAGATCTTATAGTATTATGTAGAAGAGACTACCGATATTCTTTTTTCGGAACGTTTTACTATGGCAGCCATTAAAATCTAACTCGGCCCGTTTTGTTTTGTATTATCGTCGACCCCGTCGCATTTTATCGCATTCTTACCGCGTCCCGAGGCTACCGAGGCTCGTCTCTTGTTACATAGCAGCTACCAGCCTAGGCTTGTCTACTACATCTACATACTTACATACCCACCTCCTGACGCATTAGACTTTGCGCGGACATAAGACGACGCAAACCTAACATACTAGCAAACGGATACGAGTCCCTTAGGAAAACTCTAAATAAATCCGACAATACGGACAGACGGAATAGAATTTGACCCTAGAGTGACGATACGCAAACCGCTTTTGCCATTTCTACTTACCCACATAGAGGTATGTCTATATTGAGTTTAGTCAACGACGGAAGCGATACTCGGACATTATATATCATCACTCATGGCGGATAGCAAGCCTGAAAGCCCTCAGTCCCAGGAGCCTCACGGCAGCTCTCGCAGCTCCAAGCTGCCGCGCCTGGGGCAGAGGCGCCATCAAGATCAAATTCAAACAGCAGATTCTGATTCTAAGCCAGGTTACGAGAAGAACAACCCAACGAACATTCCTACGCACGATATTAAATCTGTATACAGTAAAGAGCGGAAACCTAGAAGAATTTCTGGTTCATCGAGTATTGTATGTGCGCCCCTGCCGTTGGATGTACTACCAAGAGAAGGTATTGATCGAAATTCCTTCTCTCTTAGCCGATTCACGACTGCCTTGACATCCCCAGGCCTCGTACTCCACCTCGCACGACCAAGACTACAACCGGCAAAATCCACACACCCCGTGTAACCAACGACGGTACCCCACACCCATCTTCTCTAGGCAATTCGAGCTCTTCATATAGGGACTCGCCCAGCGCTGCTCGAGCTGTCTTGCCTGGTCCAGGTTCTGCCACATCTATCCCCAGGGCCTTCGCTTCTCAGGGAAGCCCTCCACACCAGGCCCCGAGACGTAAAGATATTAAAGCGAGAGATATTCCTAAGATGGACAACACTTCGAACAAAGAAAGGCCTGCCAACGGAAGGACCAGTACGCAGGACGTCCCGGGAGCCGAGCCGACCAGGCTGGAGCCTCAGAAACCAAATAGCGAAGACGAGGCGCAATCCGACGATAGGGACGAGTCTGGGGAGAAATATGGTTCTTCAGGTCTTGATAGGAGTATTTATTCCACGGAAGAAGACTACGAAACCCCAGTTAATGGTTTAGAGACTACCGCGGATGGAGATAAGATAGACGGTGCCAGTTACGCTTCTGCCCTTAAATCTGGTTTGAACGGACAAGACACAGACATTGTAACATATAAGCGTAGTCTTAACCCGCAAGACGACTATGACTCGTATCCTGAGCTGGATGATCTAACGATGGACGAAATTCATCCGCTCCCAAGACCAAGTGCCAACGGAGGGATCCGGTGGGCTCCGTGGAACGTTCCGTGGAAACGCAGAATGCAGACATTTGTTGTGCTTATGCACTGCATGTCTATCGCCCTAACGGTTTCAATCTTCTTTGCGCTATGTGCTAACCCCTTTGCTTGGCCATTGCTGCTTGTATACCTTCTACACGTACTGAGCTCGAAGGCTGCTACGGACGGATCGTTGAGATACCGATCCGAATGGTTCCGCAAAAGCTACATATGGCATCTCTTCGCGGGCTACTTCCCAGCCAAGCTTCATAAAACTCACGATCTGCCGCCCACTCGGAAGTATATCTTCGGCTATCACCCCCATGGTATCATCTCCCATGGCGCGATGGCGGCTCTCGGCACCGAGGCTCTAAGATTCTCTAAGAAATTTCCTGGCATCACGAATAGTGTTTTAACATTGGACTCGAACTTCCGCATTCCACTGTATCGCGAGTATATACTAGCCTTAGGGTTACGATCAGTTTCGAAAGATTCCATTGTCAATATTCTAACAAAAGGCGGGCCGAATGGAGAGGGCATGGGCCGCGCCGTCACCATTGTTATCGGTGGTGCTCGGGAGTCTCTTGAAGCGCAACCAGGTCAGATGCGTTTGATCCTGAAGGAGCGCAAGGGGTTCGTCAGGATTGCTGTTAAAACCGGCGCGGACCTGGTGCCCGTGCTCGCATTTGGTGAAAACAACTTATACGACCAACTACATCCTAAGGAGCACCCACTCGTACACAAACTGCAGATGTTTGTCCTAAAGGTGTGGAAATTCACCCTACCATTCTTACACGGACGAGGTATTTTCAATTATGATGTAGGCTTGATGCCGTACCGCCGCCCGTTGAACGTGGTGGTCGGAGCTCCGATCAAAGTTACGCAGTCGGCCGTCGTGGACCAGGCGGAGGTCGATCGACTGCATGATCTATACATTACCGAGCTAGAGAAGCTGTGGGATCAATACAAGGACAGGTTTGCTCCCGACAGAAAGGAAGAGATGCAAATACTATCCTAGAACAGTCTCACTATACTTCCATAGGATTTTTCTTTTTAGTTCCCTTTGTATTGGATGTATGGTTAAACACAGGCGTATAGGTCTACTCGTCGAGTAAAACTTGGGAAAGGGGGGACGAAGGATAATCATTATTGCTTTTAGGAGACTCGTCTTCGGTAAACGAGGAAAGTGGTTTAAGTGTAATTCTAACTATTAGATCACATAGAATAGGGTTGTCTAGTTCTTTACAATGCGAAGGGAATAAGAACAATAGACCAGGGTTTTTATATTTGTTTAGGTATTCTGCGCTGTATTAACTACGCTAGGACCATATAATATAAAATAGTTTACTACATACACTAGTACTAGAAAATGTTTGTATCATAGGAATACTCGTTGGATTCTGTGTATGACAGGTGTGACAATGGGACGTAAGGGCGTCTCGAGGTTGCGTCGGGAGTCATCGACGTATGCAAGCTAGGAGGTCACAATTTCAAGTTGGAGATCAATTACCTTGTTTTCTATAAGATTAAGATCATGGGGGGTTGCAGGCGCATCGCGATATTGATAGTCTAAATAGTCTAGGTTAAGATCCTAAGCGTGGATGAGCTGGATGAGCTGGATGAGCTGGGATGAGATCAAGATCGCTGGTGCCCTTTTAGGTTGAAATCGCCACGCGGATTGGAGGTTTACATAAACCCCGGATTTGCTCGGCGCCCCACACGCCGTGCATAAGATGTCAAGTCCCCATATTTCGAACGGTGAAAGTCAATTGCAAGGGTCGAGGCAATGCTAGCTTTTTAGATGTTTACTTGGCGTTCCAACGTGGCTCCAGGGGAAATTGATCTATTATACGGGTACGAGGGAGAGGAGTTTGTTTGAAGAGATAGATAGGTACTTATTTAGAAAGTCAATTGCTCCTTTAAATCGACGTGTGATAATATATGATTCATGACTACATATTTGGGGTTGTATAAATTGTGAGATGTCAGAAATGAACACATAGGATCAAGACAGTATATTTAGGTACAGTGTACACAAAGCATTGTACATTGTGTACCCTAGGTTAGCTGGTTAGGTACATACACAGTAATGTACCTAAACATATGAGCGATCCCCATATTTCACATGAAGCTGCTGTGCATAATACATCGGGTACATCTAGGATGCTACCAATGTACATAATACTACGGATCTGATTTTAGGTAGTTGCTAACTCATCTCCAAATGCTCCCAGGCTCCACGACTTGTTCAATCGCAACACCAACTGGTCAACTTTTCGGTTGCTTCTTCGTTTAGGTATTATTCGAATCGCCAAGTCCCTGTCATTAGATACCTTAAAAAAAGGGGGAATTCAATTGGGAGTTTTATGCGTCCAAAGTTGGCCGACGCTAAGTAAAGTTGCGGTTAGCTTCATAAGGCTAGGGGTCCTTCCAGGGGGGTTAGGGGTTTCCGCACAATGATGCTTGCAGTTGCTTACTGCTTTTGGTTTATCTCTAATCTGAGGCGTATCACTTTCGAGTCTCTGCCGTACACTTGACTTTTATTATTCACATCCACATAAAATAATAATATGTCTTCTCCTTTGTCCAATAATCTTACTTCCCAAAAGCGTATATCCAGTCTTCCTTCACCGTCTCATCCCGCCACCCTATCCGTTAAAAGCGTATTCGCTCCTAATTCTACGAACCCCGACTTATCCAATCCCTCGTCAGCATCATCCGCTACCACCAGCTTTAAGGTAGACTGGTCATCTGATGGTGCTAATCACCATTCTTCCTCCAACCCTACCGGTCGTCGTCGAGAGGATATCGAGATGGATTCCATAGCTCCCCAGGGTCATCGCCGCCGCCGAAGTACCCTAACCGCCAACCCTAACATCCCTCAGCCGTCTACTTCGCGAACGCCACGGACGCGTTCCACCAGCGCCAAGAGGCCAGGGGAGCTGGAAGGCAAAATCTCCGAAGAGGATCAGCGTCGGGACGCGTCAAGATCGGACAGCAAGGAAGATGACAGTTTATCTGAAGAAGACCTGCACGATGACGAGGAAACAGGTCTGACAAAGAAGGATAAGCGGAGGAAACAAGCCAAGCGACGGCGCAATACGAGGTTAGACCAGAGGATTGCGCGGGACAAGATTACAGACGAGGAGCGAAAAGAGGCAGACCAGGACGTATTTAAGAAATTGGTCGTCAATGGTGTTCTAATTGGGCTCTGGTATCTATTCTCGCTTTCCATCTCTTTGGTAAGTCAACTACTTTTTTTTTATACCTTCTTCTAAGGCCCCTTCAGACTATACGAATTGTATAATTACTAACAAAAATTCTATTCCATAGTACAACAAATGGATGTTCGATTCAGGCCAACTCAACTTTGCATTCCCCTTATTTACAACAGCAGTGCACATGCTCGTGCAATTTTCCCTTGCAAGTTTAGTATTATACTTTATACCTTCCCTACGACCCAACAATGGCCAACATAATTCCGACCTGGGCCGATCGAGACACGAGTCCGAACCTGAACGTCCTATTATGACTAAAATGTTTTATTTGACGAGAATAGGGCCGTGTGGCGCGGCAACTGGGTTAGATATTGGACTTGGAAACACATCCCTAAAGTTCATTACTCTTACATTTTACAGTAGGTGTTGATGTGTGTTTTATAATATGAACTTGGAAGCTAACATACCTATAGCTATGTGTAAATCTTCTTCCCTAGCCTTCGTATTACTATTCGCCTTTGTTTTCCGCCTCGAAAGTCCCACGTGGAAGCTAGTTGGTATCATCGCAACCATGACAGCTGGTGTGGTAATGATGGTAGCAGGAGAGGTCGAGTTCCAACTAGGAGGATTTATCCTCGTAATATCCGCCGCTTTTTTCTCCGGCTTCCGCTGGGGTCTGACGCAGATCCTCCTGCTTCGAAACCCCGCCACGTCAAACCCGTTCTCCAGCATCTTCTTCCTTGCGCCGGTCATGTTTGCCACGCTGATAGTAATCGCGGTACCGGTAGAAGGTTTCTTCGAGCTGATAGAAGGGTTGAAGGTGCTGGCCAATGAATGGGGTGCTCTTAGAACACCTCTTATTCTCCTCTTCCCAGGAACGATCGCTTTCTTGATGACTGCCAGCGAATTTGCTCTGCTGCAGCGAAGCAGCGTAGTCACTCTTTCCATTGCCGGTATCTTCAAAGAGGTCGTCACTATTTCGGCAGCAGCATTAGTTTTTGACGATAAACTTACCCCCATAAACATCTCGGGTCTCGTCGTGACCATTTGTGCTATTGGCGCATATAACTGGATCAAGCTGTCCAAGATGCGTAACGACGCCCAAATGGAAGCACATAAACGAGGCTACCAGCAGGCGCAATCAGGTTCATCGAGCGAGTTTGAACGCGGAAGCGATTCCGACGAGGAAGAGGCGGGACTTCTAGCTCATGAAGAAGCGAGCGGCATCGAAGATAGTCTACTTGCAGCCGACGGGGATGTAATACCGAATGCAGGCCCCTCCAGCTCGACGGAACCCCACCGGACTGAGCGTTCTCGGGAAGATTGATTATCGCATGTTACATTTCATTTGTATAAGGTACATTAACAGAATAGAAGCCTAGGAAATATGGCGCAACTTGTACATCTATGTGGGATTTAGCATGCTCGAACGCGGCAGTTAAATAGTAAGACTGCACGCACGAGAGAAGGGCCAGTGGGACAAGTGAACCAGTCGCCTGAAAAGCAGGAGGCCGAATATGGCATTAGCAGGAGTAACAAGGGGCAGGCCTACGCATTTATCTATCTACTAGATAGATGGAAATCAACCGACCAACCGATCGGTCAGTTGGACAGAAGCAGGCAGATCTCCTACATTCAGAACGTTGAAGCAAATAGGAGAAAAAGGAGCAGAACAAGGCTAGTTAGTGTGAGCCGTGAGCAGACATATCAGCAAGATACCCCATTGCAAATATAGAGAAGATCGATACGTCCTACCATCTAGGCACGGACGCTTGTTTAGTGGTTATAGGACGTGTAGAGATAGGTTTTATAGAAATGTTACCTGTACTTAATGTACGGATATATATAAGGTGGCTTGGGCTGGTAGTATGTATTATCGGTGGTTAATGTGTGGAATTGGGCATTGGCACAGGATCAAAATTGTAGCAAGACTCAATACTATGCGTCATATCACAACGTGCGAAGTACAGCGAATATGAATTGGTGTTCCGTGATAATTTATTAGTTAGTATAATATGCTCCTTGGTGTCTAGAAACGAGTTTTCTGATCTAGGCTGCGCGCTTATAACGCCTAATATTAAAACAAGCTAAGCGTGGTAGCATAATGACTATGTACCTAGGCACCTAATGCAGGTGTAGGCATCAGCAGGGTATATGCATACATCCTCCCCTTCCTCAACCCAATATCTTCAACCCGCCCTTCGTCTTCTGGCCCGGCTTATGTACACCCGTAGGCACGGGGCCAAGATGGGGTTCGAGGCCGTCGTCGCGCTTCCCACCACCACCACCACCAGAACCACTACCGCCGCGGTTCTTATTTTTGTTTTTGTTCTTGCCGTTCTTGTTCCAGCGGTTGTTGTCCTTGACGGTGGTGGGCTTGATCTCGGTGGTGCTCTTGCGCACGACGACCGGGTGGCTCTGGATGTACTTGCCGTTCATCTCCTTGGCTGCTTGGAAGAACTCGTCCGGGTCGCTGAAGGATACGAACCCGTACCCTTTGGACTTGGACGTTACCTTGTCGCGGATTACGCGCGCTTTTTGTAGGGATTTCCATTGCGAGAATGCTTTGTAGAGGGACTCGTCGGTTGTCTCGCCTGCTAGGTTGCCGACGAAGAGGCGTAGGTGAGAGGGGTCCCATTCGAGGAGCGTGTCGTCGGACCATTTCTGCCCGCCGCCCGATCGCACGACCGTCTTCTTCTTCTCTCCGTTCGTTGCTGCTGCTGCCGCTGCCGATGCGGCGGCGGCGGCGCTGGCACTCGGTTCCGCAGCGTACGTCGTCGTCCCGCTGTTGGCGTAGCCTGCTCGCCCTCCAGACGCTGCTGCTGACGCTCCTGCCGTTGGTGGTGCACCAGCACCAGCACCCCCTTCCTTGGTGGGATCTTTCACATATGCGCTCTGCCACTGCGCGATCTGCGCTGCCATATCCGGGTCATAGTCGTCGCTCCTCGCCTGGTTAGGAGCTGGGAAGGGGTTGCGGATTTGGGGTGCGGCGGCATACGAGGGCGCAGCAGTAGTGCCGGCGGCTACCTGCGGCGCGCTGTAGTAGCTCTGCTGGTAGCTCTGCTGCTGGCCGGGGTACGAGTACGGATTCGCCGCCGCAGCAGCTGGTGGCTGCGATTGTTGTTGGTAGCCGCCGGTCACGGTGCCCGGGCGCGCGTACGGTTGGTACGAGGAGCCATACTGGTTTCTGGGGGCGGGGGCGGGGGCGCCAGCATATGTCGGGGCGCTGGAGTAGGCGGGAGGCGCGTAGGGGCCGGGGCTCGGGGAGTGGGTTGGCGCGGGCGAGAAGGCCGGCTTGAAGCCGGAGAAGCGCGAGGGAGGCGGTCGTGGGGGGAGCGAATTGCTGGAGCCTGGAGGAGGCGGATAGGACATGATGAACTTTTCTGTGCGCCCGAGAGGTGTGGTGCGTGTGTGTGTGTGTGTTTCGGGTGCAACACGTACCTACGAGTCCGGATATATAGCCTGGACTCTTCTTCCTGCTTCTCGGATAACCTAGAGCTTTTACCGCTCTGGTTTGTTTCGTGGGTTGGGGACGAGTATCGAAGGGTTGTTGTTAATACGTGCGGTGCGCGCTCGAATTGTGAAAAGGATGAATGAAGTGCGTTATGCTTGTCTTGTGAACTTGGCGTTGGTGCGGTGACGGTGTGAAAATTACGGGTTGATGGGATTCTATCGACGTGATTCTATGGAGTGCAGCCCGATTCGAAGTACTCGATCCCAGATTCCAAGGTTGATGGAAGTCTTTTTGATTTGTGGCGCATTAAATGTGGCGGTGCATCAACATTTGTACCTATAGTCACGTGGCTCCGGTGCCCATATCCACTTACACCAGTCATTGGGAACTTGTCCCAACAGAATGCTGCAACTTTCTATTGTTGACATCTAATGGTTACCTTAAAAAGTAGGTGGTTTACTCATAAGCAGAGTAGTTGCGATAATACTTCTTACTATTACCTATTATACTGTACCTTAGAGGGAGTTCCCTCAGAAATGTATTTGAAGAACCAAAGCGGGAACTTATTATTGATCCGTACTTAGGTTCGTACACATATAAACGGTCCAAACAATAAGGTAACTTACACCTTGAGTTTGTTCAGCTAATAACCTACTCTTAACGTCTGTTCATGACATCCCATGTTAGGTTTTACACAATCTCTAGGCATAAAGAGAAACATTTGGTAAATTGGTCTTCGAGGGAAATAAGTTAGAACTTACAACCACATAGACGGTATCCAATTCAACCTTAGTTGAAAGCTACCGCCTAAAGACACTGCTTTGTCAGGCCCATTCTTTATATTCTACTTTTTTTTATCCCGGTATTCATCATTGACAATACAAGCATACTCCTACCTTATCTCTCAACTTTCGGCCGGACGCCCTGACTGCCAAGATGGCAATTCACCTGATAAGGCCGCGAAGCATAATAATCAAGAGGGCCGGCAATCCGCAATAAAGGGCCGAGAACTTGGAAGGTTCTCCTGATTGGCCCAAGGTCATTAATCTATTGCCCGGTTCTCCCCATGAGACATTTTGTTGTAGCCTCGCAGTAATGAGTGGGATTTGGCGTCAATCCTGGTTAACTCGTCTAGCCTGCGTTCCACCGCAACTACTCTCGGTCGTTTGTTGCGCCGCTTCGTAGACCATCCTCAAGCCCCGATAACTAAGAACCAATTAGTGAGATATTGAGATTGAAGGCATATATACGAAATCGCCACAGCCCGGATTGACATCCATTAAACAACATGGCTTTACATTGAATTATTTCTTGAACCTGTCTCCGAGATCTCTACAAAGGGGCATTATCTGCTATAAGTGACTGGGGCTTTCAATACCTTCCGGTACTCCCGTGTTTCAACAATGCCATTGTCACATAATGATCCAGAGTCAGCAGGCTGTTTTGCTATGTGAGTATTCGGTTGCTAAGCACTGCAATAAGCACAGGGGAGCTATTTGTGGGATTGGATCTAGTAGTCTCTTAGACATAGCAGACGATGGAGCGGCTATCCAAGAACAAGTACAAACAAATTTCTCAACCTTGTTGGACCGAGAGTTCAGCCTGATAGACGGTCTTACACGAGGATGTCTCAACAAGTAATTATATTGCCATCTAACCTATTGTTCCATATACATCCATAGTATTGTACATACGTACCTAAGGTTAGTTCAATAAAACCGATGTGGATCCGGGCTCATCAATGACCAAGCATTTCGTCCGTCCCCCGGTGGATTTACGAAACGGCGTTAAGGTCTCACGGGGGGATCTGAATCAACCAAGATCGACATGAGGCGTATTCCATGTTAGAGAAGAACGAAGTGGCATGTTTATTTTTTTATTTTTTTTTTATTTTAATTACCTCTGACCAGGTAGATTATTACTGTCACAAAAAGCAAATCGGAGGTAAGTATTACTATTGGGTTGTCAATGTGCAATATCTACTATATGTATGTCATTCTCACGATCCGTAATCGGTGATAGGCGAGGGACAAACTGTGCGAACCGACGCGTAGCGGATAAGGGAAAAGAAGGGTCTTCAGTAATAAACCCGTGCCTTCCGGGAACTCTTTGATTGATGGGGATGCAAGTGCTGTCCTTGTCCTGTCATCTTCAGCTAACCTAGGTTAGGTACTATACAGTAGTAGTATGTAGCTTAAGCCTGGTTGGCTAAGACGGGTTATAGACGGGTTGTAGGTACCTGCGCAAGGTATTCCAATAACAAATTCCCCTCCCCTCCTACCCTTTTTTTCTCCTGGGCATCACTTTCTTACTTACCCCTCCATCATCATATCCACTTTCAAACCCACTTTTCCTAACGAACTCCATCATAGAAAAGTAACCTCCCTCCCGCGACCGCCCGTAATCTACAATTAATTCTTTATATTCCCGCTCTCCATCTGTGTTTTTAGCAAATAACCTCATTTCTCTACCATTGAGTTACCAATATCGCTACAATCATGTCTGGTGCCGTGTAAGTCCAAATATACCTCTCTGTCTTACCTTGGCGATGATGATTACTCTTTTTACCCCGCCATCAAGAAAAATCATCACCCCGCCGACTCCCATCTTTCTTTCTACCCAACAAATTGAGTGCCTTCGCGACCCATGTAACTGAAATAGCTCTTCGGGGCCTCTAGGGCTCGTCTTGCCAACATAACCAGCTCTCTGGGTGGCCCAAGGCGAGCTTTTTTCATTATATATCCTTATCTACGAATTCGTCGTAAATCGCTCCGTTGAAGCCATGCTAACCATTCCAAAAGCGCTGATTTGGGCCTCATTGGCTTGGCCGTCATGTACGTTTATCCCAACCCCCTCCAAACTCCTTAGTAAGCTCTGGGGATATTCATCTGTTATAGGGGTCAGAACTTGATTCTGAACATGGCCGACCACGGCTTCACCGTCTGCGCTTACAACCGAACCGTCTCCAAGGTAGATGCCTTCTTGGCAAACGAGGCCAAGGGCAAGTCTATCGTCGGTGCTCACTCCAACGAGGAGTTCATCTCCAAGCTAAAGAAGCCCCGCCGTGTCATGCTGCTGGTACAGGCTGGCAAGGCTGTCGACGACTGGATCGAGGCCCTACTCCCCCTCCTAGAGAATGGTGATATCATCATTGACGGCGGCAACTCTCATTTCCCCGACTCGAACCGACGAACTAAATACCTCTCAACCAAGGGTATCCGATTCGTCGGTTCCGGTGTCTCCGGTGGTGAGGAAGGTGCCCGATATGGCCCTTCGCTGATGCCGGGTGGTAACGAGGAGGCGTGGCCCCACATCAAGGATATCTTCCAAAGCATTGCTGCTAAGAGCGACAACGAGGCATGCTGTGAATGGGTTGGTGACGAGGGTGCTGGCCACTACGTCAAGATGGTGCACAACGGTATCGAGTATGGTGATATGCAACTGATTTGCGAGGTTGGTTGCCCTTATACCCATTGCCCCCTATATTTCATGTATCCCGAAACAATTAAACTAATTCTACTAGGCCTACGATATCATGAAGCGTGGTCTTGGATTAAGCAACAAGGAGATCGGTGATGTTTTGGCCACGTGGAACAAGGGTGTTCTAGACTCGTTCTTGATCGAAATCACCCGCGACATCATGTACTTCAACGATGAAGACGGAACCCCGCTAGTTGAGAAGATTCTAGACCAGGCCGGTCAGAAGGGTACCGGCAAGTGGACTGCCATCAACGCTCTGGACCTCGGAATGCCCGTTACCTTGATCGCCGAGGCTGTGCTTGCCCGTTGTCTGTCCTCAATCAAGGCCGAGCGAACCAAGGCTTCGACCAAGCTTCAATACGTCGGTCGCACAACCAAGTTCGAGGGCAACAAGGAGCAATTCCTTGATGACCTTGAGCAGGCCCTGTACGCTTCCAAGATCATCTCGTATGCTCAAGGATTTATGCTGATGCAAGAGGTATGTCACATTATCCGTTTATATACTTCCCTAAGCGTGCAGACGTTGCTGACTGTAATTAGGCCGCGAAAGAATATAAGTGGAAGCTTAACAAGCCTTCGATTGCCTTGATGTGGAGAGGTGGTTGTATCATCCGCTCTGTCTTCTTAAAGGACATTACTGCGGCTTACCGAAACAACCCTGACCTCGAGAACCTGCTATTCGACGACTTCTTCAACAAGGCCATCCACAAGGCCCAGCCCGGCTGGAGAGACGTGGTTGCCAAGGCTGCCGTTCTCGGAATCCCAACCCCTGCTTTCTCTACTGCGCTATCGTGGTTTGACGGATACCGCACCAAGGACCTGCCCGCCAACCTTCTCCAGGCCCAGCGTGACTACTTCGGAGCACACACTTTCCAAATTAAGCCCGAGTTTGCCAACGAAAAGTACCCCGAAGGCAAATATATCCACGTTAACTGGACTGGTCGGGGAGGTAACGTGTCGGCTTCCACATACCAAGCATAAAGGATGGCATCCATGTGAGCGAATATGAGCGCGCTTACCAATAGTAAGTTTGGCGTATAGGCAGAGTCATTCTTAATAAATGGAAAAAGGGAATGATTTCAACCGAGCATGCTATGACATGACATGACATAGTTAACCTACCAAGTTTAGAAGAATGAAAATAAATATCTGAATTAATGGAAAATTCCAATTTCAATATTCTTACAAAAATAATAATTTAGACTACGGACCGCATAGTAATTCGTGAGAGACGCGTATAAATACCTAAATAGCAGTTGGCAACATGAGCCAAATGTAACTGTTGGGTACGTACCCTAGACTGAACCACGTGACGTTTGGACGTCGGAGATGGTTGGCTCGAGCCACATTGATTTGTAGGTGGCGCGTGCAGACCCACAGCTACCACTTATCAAGCCTCAGGCGTACCTGTAACAAATTCCCCCTAAGGAAAGTCGAGCTCTTGTCGTCGCGCATCTTCGCGATCATCAAACCGAAACTTTCGCGCGCAGCCTTGTCATCGCGAATCGCCCCTTGCGCCTTGCGCTCTGCTATTCTTACCACAACTTTGAATCTATTATACCGGACCCATCTATTTGCTTCCAATAATTCCGGTATTAATCAATTGAGTGTGATAGTCAAATTTATCTCGCTCAAACGACAATGTCAGCAATGGGTGACCCCAGTTACGGGGTCCATAGAGACTTGGTATTTTTCATTTGCGATCGCATATCGTTAGAGTTGCTTGCTAATATAGACATGTTTAGCTCCCACATGTGCATCTCATTTCGACATACAGATATACCCTCAAAGCCCGAGTTGAACCTTCCGAAGTGACCAGTTGGTTGATGCAAGCTCCCAAGATCGCCCGCGACACCGCACCGTTCTTCTGGACCTATCTCGATCGGCCCGAGAATGGTAATGTCTTCTTGACGTGGCAGCCGTTACAGCAGATGGGTGTAAACTTCGCCAGCGATGGTTTCATCTGGCCTCCCCAGGAACAATACTTACAGCAGGATGTGGGAAACGGTGTGGTATGACAGGTCTTGAATTCTGAGCTGTGAGCTCATGCTAACTAAGCTGTGCAGATCCTCGAGATGTATTATCACAAAGCCGGATTTGCCTATGGAGAACCGTACGCGTCACATTCGAGACGTCGTTTCCGCCTCATTCCTCCTAATATCCACAACCCGAATGCTCCCCAGGTTGATCCTAGTCTATGGATAGTTCACTACGGTCCCGTCGATAACAACGAGCGTATTCCCCACCAGGTGATCCCGCGCGATCCTCGAGTTCAATCTATCTTAGAGACTCGCGCTTATCTGCAGCGATGTGGTCAAATTCAACGAAAGGAGTTCATCCTCAGCGACCGGGTGAATTGGCCTCAGATCGCCTGGCCTAGAGAACCGGCAAGGCAGCCCATGTTCGCAGGCCCCCGCGGGGTTCCACAGGCAATGGCATATCCCGCCCACCCTCCTACGGCTGGTGCACCGCCATCGAAACGAGCGCGGACCGGCCAAGCTGCACAGGGTCAAGTAGCTTCCGCGATACCTCCTATTTCCCAGCAAGAGAGCGTGTATGACGACGAAGAAGATACCTCTCGTGGCGACATGTTTGATCATCTTACGCCACGTGAAGTTAGTTTAGCTCGTTATCGGCAGAACCACGAATGGATGGAAGAGATACTGTCATCCCCATACAGAATGGGCCAGATTGGGTTTTCAGATCTTGGGCTAGGTCTCAAAGGAGAGCTTTCGGATTTAACTGATGGTATTTTTGAGGCTCATAGTTTTAATGCAACCACCCAGACCCTTTCTAAGCCTACTGCAACTCAGTTCGATCCGGAGAAGGCCGCTGAGTTTCGCAAGCGAGTTAATGATCGACTTCGTTCTACACAGGCAGAGATTGAAAAGATGAAAGCAGACCACGCCAAAAAGGTGGCCAAGTTTAAGCATAACTCCCTCCTTACCGTTGCCGAAAGGGAGTTGCGATTAGCTGTAGACGAGCCGGGATCTGATGTACTACAGCTCGAGAGAAAAGTCGAAGAAAGCGACGATGACACAAATCGCTGGCCTTCTAAGCATAATAAGAAGGTTGATGAGATCGTATCTCAGGTTGAAGCGCACCTAGGCCGTCGAGCAGAGGTCATATACGAACTGAGGAGGATACAAGACGGTGGTTATCAAGAGCCGGCTCCGGAGCCGACGCCCCAGATAACCTTGGGTCCGGGTCCTGTTCTTGGAGAGCCTCAGAACGGCGGGACAAATGGTAGCGGTGCAATGTCTCGCCAACCATCACACGCAGGGTCTCAGCATAGTGGATTCACTATGGGAGATCATGATATCGACATGGGCGGCGGAACTGCTGCCGGCCTCCTTGACCAAATACATACCGGAACAGGAGTCTCGTCTACCTCCACGCCAATGAATAACTTCCCGACTCCCCAAGCTCAGGCCTCGGGCGTCCATTCCCGCGTTGCTACGCCAGCAAATGCGAACGCTCCTTCGCCTCTGCAGCCCATCCAGACTGACAACGCGGGGGATGTAAACATGAGCGGCGTCGCCGATCCGCCAACCGGAATCGCCCCTGACCAAGGTACAGGGAGTGGTGACTGGGTGGTAGTCCCTAAAGCCGGGGCTATTCCAGATGGCGCCGCGGGTGCAACACCTGCCAGTAATCCACCGAGAACCGCAGGCGCTCTAAGCAAGCAAGCATCAGCAACAGGAACCCCTTCAGCAGGGTTCGATGGTGACCAGAACGACTTCAGCTCATTAGATGATTTGAATACGGCGGGAGATGCACTAGCAGGTTTTAGCGAGACGCCTGGGGACCTCGGTGAGGGTTTGGATATGGAAATGGAAGATTCGGCGTTTGGCGACGCTTTCCATGGCGTGGACACGCAACAAGGGGGAGGCACGCCGGCTGAAGGTAACATCTAGGAAATGCTGCACGGTAATTTTTCCTTTTGAAGATGAAAACTATTGAGGATGAGAAAGAGAAAGAAGAACAACCTGGCGTAATTCTAAGACGTGGCAATTCAAAGCGAATTAATATTAGGTCGATTATCTCTGAAGACCTCAAATTACGATAGCAAGAAGACTTCCGGGGAACAGATATGGTTTAAGGGCGTTGGACGGTCTCACTGGTAAATTTCTTGCTTATCAAAGGCTCAAATCCCAGAAGGGGGGGGAGCTCAACCTATGTGTACTATTGTTTGATGTACGATTACGTCCGTAAACTCGTCTTCCACGCTAGGAAATGGGTTTGGAAGGATATGGACTGCGTTCTGCTTATTTTGAGCTTAGTGACATCAATTCGAGCCAGTTGTATTGGAAATCATAGCTTATGAAGACTATTACAATAAGATGCTATAGTATGGAATCTAGCATTGCGGCACGTAGCCTGTAAAGTCTATTGAATATATCCTCTTGACTCCGCAGGACATAGTAGGATGAATTCAAAGGCAACTCTTATGGTGACAATGTCTCTTAAGAAGATATCTACATTAGAGGCTTCGGTAAACCCAAGCGAGACTCGAAGTTGATTTTAGGCTTGCTTGCTTGCTTGCTTGCTTGCTTGCTTGCTTGCTTGGTGATGAAAGGTTTCAGAACCAGCAGGGTTCCGTCTCAAAGCCTCGGAGCTAAGACCTCGACAGAGAGTCTTCTAATCCTCCTTTAGCACGATTTTATATGCGGAGGAAGAGAAGCTTTATGGTTGTAGTAGGTTAGCAATTCCCGGATGCTACTCGGTTCCGAGCTCCCGTCACTGTCAGGGGTCGTTGGGCACGGCTCCTTTTGAACCGCGTTTCCTGGTATCGCATCGTCGGATCCTCGTCCCATATTGAGTATTTCGATTGGTTCATCTCTTAATTATTCAATGCTTTTCTCGTGCTCGGGACATGTCGCATCGACTTGCTGATTTGATGTGTAGATGTAGGCAAGAAGTAACGGGTGCTTTCTGCTTACTTGTCTTGACTTTCTTGGCTTTCATACCAGTATCTCGACGTCGGATCTTAGTAGTCTTTCATCTCGTGGCTCTTGGTCGTAGAATCTGACCGAAGTTCAACCTGGGAGTGCCCCCGGGGCATGATTATGGTATACTGTTCTTGAATTAGGCTTACTATGATTAATATGTCTATACCCCGGCTTAAACGAGGTGCTACGATGGCTACTAGTGTTATTAGAGTATACGCCAAGATATGTCAAGTTAGGGGATAATGTCTCAAGCTCACGCAACTATTTGAAAATCACGGAGGGTTGCGTGGTGTAATCATGGCATTATATACCAACACGTCGTCTAACCACATGGAAAATGGTCGTCGCCTCCCATCCAGATCTCTGTCCACCGTTGTTTTCTTTCTCGTGTGTTATCCTTTCCTTCTCTTCCTTTGGTCACTCCTTAATGCCTCGCCTGCTGGTCAGCTTGTACTGTTGAGCAGTATTTACGTTCTTTTTACATAGTTGTTACTTGATTCTTTATACATATAATACGCCTCGTAGAATACGCGGCTAGAGGTAATAAGAAATGAGGAAATTGGATCTAGTCACAGCTCTTGCGGTTATATTTGGAGCTGCCTTCAATGGAGCACTTGCTACTCCAGCCCCTATCCTTCAGCAGAATAAAAATTTACCTACTTCTAACCACCCAAGTACGGCGCCATCTTACTCCAGTGGCCAACTTCAACAATTGCCAAATTTTAGGGAGATTAGAGGATCCGACACGGAGGCCGAAGTAAAAGGTGATTATGGGCCTGAAGCAATATCCTCCGAGGGGTTGGTACAGATTCCTGGTGCACCAGTGACTGCTGGTCAGTTAGTCGCTCTTCCCGGGCTAGAAGAGTCGAGTGCTACCAGTGAGACCGCTACGAGTAGTACGACTGTTGAGTCCTCGGCAGCCGGAACTTCTTATAGTACCACACTTGGGATAACGACGGATGCCGGGGCAGATATATCCTCAAGTGCAGCGGTACTCGAGACGTCAAAGGTGAGTCCTTTATTTATAGCAAGGCATACCTAGCTCTAACCCCTAACATTTTATAGATCACCGCAGCTTCATCTTCATCAAGCTCTTCAGTGTTAGTGGGAAGCTTCCAGAGCTTTCGAGTTGTGCCTACCGCAACAACTACTACTTCTTCCATAATTATCAACGCCGGGGCCCTAGAAACCTCGAGCGCGCCAGTGGTGGCTTTTAACTCTGCTTCTATTCAAAGTTTTCGCATTATTAGTGCCGGTACGGCGACGGCAATTAGATCACCAGTCTTCGCGAATGTATCTACTTCAGCATTCGTAGCTAGTACCCATGGAGCCATTTCCACTTCGAGATTCGGGGGTTTCTCTAACACCACTGCCACTGCGGTCGCTACAGGAGCAGTAGCCATAAATACAGACCTTCCTCCAGGATCTGTACCAACCGAGCTCGTCGCACTACCTGCTAGTGGTGCAGTAACATCTGGAAGTCTTCAGTATTTGCTGGGATCTGAAGGCACCGAAACCGCCGGGGTCCAGCAGTCGCTTTCCGAAGCGACGAGCGAGTTGCGAGACCTCCCTAGTGTGCAAACCACGCTGGGCTCACTGGCGCCGATATCCTCTGGGTTTGCGAACCCCACAGCGGCAACTAGTAGCATATCTACAAATAACACCTTACCGTCGTTTAGTCTAAGTGCCGCGGCCGTACCAAAGGCGGGTGCGATAACTGCGATGTTGGTTGTGGGAGTTACGGACATATTAGCTGTGCTTTTTATGTAAATAGCATAACATATAGCAGAGCAATATCACGGTGCTTTTCATGTAGCATTATGATTTCAGTAAAAAATCATATGCAGGCTTACACGTAAGACGGTCAGATTGTTGTTCAATAGGAGGGCTGAGTAGGTAGCCTGCAGCTTTCGTGCAACCCAAGACGTCTCCAGCACAATATCAATATCTAAGTCCCTAGGTTAGACCTCTTTCCCTCTTATTCTATGAGTGTCGCTATGTAAATATCATTTAGCCCATTTTTTGTTCAATAATAATTTGTTTCCTTATAGTTCCGAGAAGGATATCATAAGACAGGAGCAACATGCTAGGAGACAACGATGATCCTTACATTGATTCTTCTATTTCAGGGACCAAGCGCTCCTGGGAAGCCGTAGGCCAATGGGGAGAATCTAGCGTTGACTCGACCACGGCAGTTCTATATCCTCATAAGAGAACACAGCCGATTCACGAACCGGATGTGCCATGGACTGCTTCAAATCAACATATTTATGCTAATAGTGTAGATAACAACATCGGGGCGGAAGTCAACGGGATAAGTGACTTCGAGGACGAAAGACAGATACGACTGGAAAACGAGACTCGAGACAGTACCTTTTCCACAATATGCTCCACCGTACCTTTCGATGTTACTAAAGGCGATCTTGTCGCGATTGGAAAAAGCCTCGACATATCTTCGTATGATACTTGCTTTGGAATGGTGAGCAAAACAGCCACGTTTAACAGATCGTGCATTAATAGGAACGACAGATTATCCTTGAAGACTTCCAACTTAAGAACAACTTCATCACGGAGAAAGGAGCAAAAGACGTGAAACTTGAAGTGTGCGGTACTATGATAATAGTTCGAGATGAGAGTTCAAACTCGTACGGAGGGCTTCTTGATCAGATATTGGCCCAAACATTGGTTAATCTGGTGAAGAACTACAACGTAGAACTCAAAGCATCATTGAAGACCTCCAAAATCATCGAGGTACTTATATATGGGAAATTTGAACAAGGTGACGCAATCGGGAATATGCTCCTGGAGCAGGATTGCTTCCTTTAACAACCGGATTCGTATGACACCTCCCGACCATACCATAATCCCCAATGCTTTTGGTACTCCGAGAAAGAAGATAATCATCAGTTTCAAGAAACGCCCGAACCGTCCCCATCGCGATATTCCATTCTGAATGAAAGCGACAAGAGTAAAGCCAACGAGTTGCTAGACTGCGCGATTGGGCCCACCAACTTCAGGAGGGTACAAACCTCAAGGGTTATTACGACAGAACTAAAGCCGTAAGCCTTCGAATATATTTGTAATAATGGCGTGGACTGACAGGCATCTAGGTATCAAAGTAAAGCTCTCGCTATGATGATGGAGAAGGAGTCAGGAGATATTCGCAATGCGGAGTTCCCTTCTATTTGGGTTGAAAAGACCGACGCGGCGTCTGCTTACTCTAGGTTTGGAAGCTAACCAACACCTGTTCGGTATGTTGCTTATTCTGCACAGATTCTATAATACGGTGACTCAAAGATACGTTACCCAAAGGCCGAAGCTCTGTCTTGGCGGTCTTCTTGCGGATGTGAGAACTCACTTATGTAGTACATAGCTTATGGAGCTTTACTAACATATTTCAAGGAAATGGGGCTCGGTAAAACCCTTACGACCTTGGCTCTAATCGCAACGTCTCTAAATAAGGAAAATCATGATGACCGTTGTCAGGGGCCCTATATAAATCTAGTAGTCTGCCCCTTGTCAAGTAGGTACTAACAGCTGTGGCTCGTTGAACTGCTTTCACTAAATCATCCTAGTTATTACCTGTTGGCAAGACCAAATAGAAAAGTACGTATCGCGCTGATAGAGATTGTTAACCCCCATCTAACTACATCAAAGACATTTCAAGACAGGGTCCCTGAGTTATAGCATCTACCATGGAGCAGCGAGAGACAAGGTTGCTACAGCTCTTGAAAGAGTCGATATCGTCCTTACGACATATGAGACTCTTAGGTCCGAATTGCCAAGTGGAAATGCCTCGATCAGGCGATCTGGGCTCCTCCATGGTATTGTCTGGCACCGTGTTGTCCTCGATGAGGGTAAGCAGCGATCGCCACCACTAATTTTGGTTTACTAAAAGACTCTATAGCACATATTGTGAGGAACCGTGCTTCGAAGACGTTTCAAGCGGTGAGAATGCTCAAAGCCAAGCATCGGTGGTGTTTAACGGGAACACCTATCCATAACCGCCTAGAGGATCTAGGTGCTCTTATCGAATTTTTAAGGGTCGATCCGTTTAATGATCCCGATATATTTCAGCACACGTTCTTAGCCCCGATCGCTAAAGGACAGCAAGGTGGGTGGGAGCGCCTTAGGTCAATGATAAAATCAATCGCCCTCCGCCGAACGAAAGAAGCAGTTGATGGCGACATCAGCCTCCCTCCTCGGAGAGACCTCATCCACTGGGTTCACTTGAATGATGAGGAGCAGGCACTCTACAACTTGGTCAAAAGGGGCTTCGCGCTAGCCATCGAGTTGGGAGGGGGAATCATGAATACGTTTCAGTTTATTCTCCGGCTTCGGCAGATTTGTAACCACGGTAGCGACTTACTTCCTGGAGATCTGCAAGATTGGCTTAAAGACGCTACCTGCTCTCAGTCCCAGGGGTGCGAATTTTGTGGCAAATTTCTTGACCACGAAGACGAATTATCCTATCATGTATTTTCATGTTTCCATCAGGTATGCCGGGTATGTCTTCAAAATAGCGGCGCCTATGATGATAGCAGTCATTTTACCTGCCCTCTATGTAATGACACTGCCTTGGAGGGGGATGAGAGCATGAAATCGACGAGAGGCTCCGAAGGCTCTAAAGTCCGACCACTGACATATCAGCTTTCATCGAAAGTGAAGGCTTTACTACAAAACCTACATGACGATCATACAGTGGCAATTGCATCTAACCAGCGACCAGCCAAGAGGTAAGCTTAGGCACTTTCGAAGATATTCTTAATCTAACGAAGTTGATCCAATATAGTATCATATTCTCGATATGGACAGGCATGTTGGATCTCGTCGGCAGAGCGCTATCTCTGAACTCTTTTACGTACCAAAGGCTTGACGGTAGTAAGAGCCTAGCACAGAGGCGCTATGCACTTGAAGAGTTCCGCACCAACGAGGACTGCAATACATTGCTCGCTTCGTTGGGAAGCGCCGCGGTCGGGTAGGTTACGAGAACCCGACACCTACACGAACGCACGATAGGTCTCACGATTAACTAACTGCCCAATAGACTTGACCTAACCATGGCTAGCCGCGTCCACTTAATGGAACCTGGATGGAATCCTTTGATAGAACAGCAAGCCATGGACCGCGTCTATCGTTTAGGACAGAAGAACGAAGTTATAACCACGCGCTATATTGTGTCTGGCTCGGATTCCATAGAACAGGCAAGTCTGTAATAGGCAAAGATGAATTTTACTAACAGAGGCTGCACAGTATATCCGGCAAAGAAAAATGTGGAAGACGAATCTTATTATATCTTCCTTGGATGATTCTACAGCTAACCGGGACGAAGCGAGAACCATACTACAGGTCAGTTACGCAAGATTTTAGGAAGCCTTCCGGGGTCTGCAAGCAAGACTAACATATATAGGATCTCAAATGTACTATTCTATCTAGGAGTGATTAGATTATATTTTAATTGATTTACATACGCGACACGTGTACATAAAGCCCGCAGTGACAGAAAAAAGTTGCGTCTATCTAAACCTAAAATACTACTTCTATTGCTTCGTTAAGAGAACCCCTAGATATTATGCTCTCTGTTTCTTTCTACGTGGGGTTATAGTAAGGTCTTCGCCTGCTCGAATTCTGCGAACAACTTCTTCCCATTCGTACCCAAAGCATCTCTCAATTATAGCCATCTTTTTGTCCATCTTTTTCGAGTGAAAATTTAACCCTTCTACCGATACACCGTGCTTTAAAAGCAGCTTCACCAACTCGGCACCTCTCTCGCCTCCTATATAAATTGCGTGATATAATAGGCTATTGGCCTTCGAATTATCTCCTAACATACGGTGGATCGCATTCGGGTCAGCTCCGTTTTCTAGACAGATCCTAACACCAACGACGCACCCACCCACCATGGCTTGTACAACACCCAGCTCATATACCCCGGGCCAAACGATGTACTGTTTTATTTCATTAAAACGCTTCATCGCTTCATCAGGGGTATACACGTCAGTGGGAGGACCAATGAAGATCAGTTCTGGACTATCAACCTGTTCGGGGAACTCCACTTGGCATTCGTTGACCAAAAAGGCTACTAGATTCGGACTCCAACGACTTAACGCAAAAATGTATCCAGTCGGTCTCACTGGTACCGTAACTTTTCCAGTAACCGAATAAATGACACGCTCATAATCTATCTGGTCTGACATATTTAGTCCAAAAGAGAGTAAGAGCTTGATATTCGGGAAGCTTTCTGCCGATAATGCCGCTGACAATGCCGGCGAATAGTTCGATACATCAAGCCACGGTTGAACAAGTATACAAGAAAGAGTATATGAGGATGCTTTCGAGGAAGCTTCACATATAAGCTGGTCCCATCTACCTTTCTCGAAACTAGTTTCTTGCATTCTAATCAGCATCTCTTCGATTACTTGCCGCTGATCTAGTACCACTGCGCTCCTAAAAATCTCGAATAGATCATCTGACGGTTGAATGGGTAACGTGCCAAGGTCTGCGTGATTTCTCTCTAGAGTTGCTGGAGGATGTGCCGCCCGAGCATGCCTTTGAAGCTCCGTTACATCGCGGAATCCTATCTCTGAAAATAGACAATTCACCATAGGGCATCTATGTGACCGTTCGTGGATCTCAAAATGTCGGTCTCTGGCTTGTTTCGACTCGAACCCACTTTGGTATGCGTAGCAGAAATGTTGATCACAATGATATATCTTCGTCCCGTAAAGATGCTTTAGATGATCGCAACGACAGCCAAATATATGGTTCGGGCCCTGACATATCATGCTTTCTATGGCTTGCCGAAGTTTTCGCCGGGCTAAGAAGATCTGGAGAGGGTCACTGATTGAGAAACCTATAGTGTTTAGGGAATAGTGTTAGTATCGTTAATGTAAGCTTCATACCATATCCTTACCATCTTGGTTGGTTAAGCCAAGCTTAGCTTGTGTCTGATAATAGGCTGCGGCTGAGAGAAAAGCTTGAAGCTCGGGCACAACGGCCAAATCCTTAAATGTGCGAACAACCCGGTTTGGAACATGGTCACCATTGACGGGAGCGGTGCCTCGGGCCTCTTGGAGTTGTCTTAGAGCAGTGACAAGAGAAATATCCAGATCTAGATCCCGACTCTGTAAATATGTCTTAAGATGCTCCAGAAACGCCGCCGACATGTATTCAAACACAACATAATCGCCACTCATAATTCGCCTTTGAATATCGTCCCGTACTACTGGTAGGGAATGGAATAACGGATTCAACGATGAGAATGATAGGTACGTTGCGCAAAGTAAAGCGGCGTTGAGATGTGATTCGGTGAGGTTCAAGAAACTACCACTCTGTTCGTGGAGAAGGTATCTAAATCAAGTTAACAATCTTGTAAAATAGGAACCTAAGATGTGACCATTACTCTTTGGCGGAGAAGTGAACAAACCGAATAAATCCTCCATGAAGCTCAATGATCGGACCACATGCCCTACAAATATCACGGAATTCCTTTCGCCCCTTGGTGAAATCGGACTGTCCTGGCTCCAGGACTAGTATCTGTAGTATCTCCTCTTCCCTCAGGGGCCTCGGGGCGCAGGCTACCCATTGTAATATTAATATTACGCACGACATCACGGAGAGCCTGCGTAAGTCCACGCTTCATCCTATCAAGGAGGCGGCCATAACTGAAAGAGAATTAGCAGTCCGCGAGTGATTATTCATAAAAACTACGCTGAGTTTTTTTGCTACTTACGCTTGGTCTAGCCCATCTGGGAGGTTTTCCATCTGCATCTCGATGTCGTAGAGGGTTCCCTGATCCTTTATCATCTGCAGGACCAATTTAGCGTAGATGAACATTCCTAGTATCTGTTAGTACTAGGTATCATTTCGCCCTGGAGAGAAACTTTCCATCTGACTTCTTTGTAATAGTCTCTAATGCTTTTCTGATCCTGATGCACGTTTGATCATCTGCTCCATATCTCTTCTTCTCATCGATAATACATTCACATTCGAGCTGGACGAATGCATCGATATCATGAAGATTTTTGTAATCGACTCGAAGAGGAACGGATTTGCTCTTTAATCGTAATGATATTTCGCGTTCCTCTCTACTGCTGATAAGAAGCTTCGCCTCTGGACATTTCTCGTTAATTTGCAACAGGCTAGAGAGGAGATGCTTCCAGGAGTTCTCATTCAATTCGTCTAAGCCATCTAGGATGATGTAACTGGCCCCTAAACTGTTGAGGATGGTACATAGTAGGTCTAAGACAAAACTGGAATCACTTTTCAGTTTCCTATGGTTAGGTTGAGGAGTTTCATAGACGATTGGCCGGAGGGTTGTGTCGTATTCGAGAAGTTGGAAAATGAGCGAATGGAGGACTTTGACAGTGTCACCAGAAGCCTGGTCATCGTGGGATAAGAAGACGAAAATGACCCGTTCACCGGAATCCTGCATCTTTTTTATGAGGTTACTGACAAGAAATGTCTTACCTACCCCGTCAATTAACAGAATGTTACTGGGTATATTCAAAAAGAAAAAAAAAGAAAAAAAAAGGCCTGGCACTAAGTAGGTGCTTGACTTACCAGAACCAGGAATACCATGAAGCCATAAACATCGTACGGTATTATCTGCTGGGTCATACCATCTTCTAGAGTCCGGTTCGTCGTCCAACCAATTACCAGACGCGACAGAGCTTCGGCGTAGTATGTCCATCAACTCTACGTCGTAGTTATGTGGATTGAGTTCGTTGCGGATGGCGCTGAAAGTCTGACTTTCTCGAAAAGCCTGTGCACGTGCATGCTCTTCAAGGGCGAGCTTCCTGGCCTGATGAGCTTGTACGATATCTTCGAGCGTTACATTTGCTGTCATCATGGCCTTGTGATACTCCATGTTTTCTTGAATCTTCGCTATGCTGGAGCGAATATTGGGCCATAAAGACTCAAGAAATACATTCAACCCTGGAGAAGGCTGTAAGCAGTTGTCAAACGACGTTTCCACTATTTACATACTTCGGTTGGAGAGAAAATTTATTAAGACGGCGTAGAAGTCAAGAATGTCTGCGTAGAAGAGACATAACGCTCGGCGGATCTCGTGGTTGGACTCAAATAACTGGGCATAAATCTTGAAACTAGGGAGCGTCATGCCTAGGTCGCCTATGACTTTGACTACTTTGTCAAAGGCCGAAATGACAGCGCTTGACGCCTAGTGAAGCAAGGTTAAGTTCCTATTTACTATATATATATAAAATGTAGTGGTATCTTACCTGGAGTATGAACTTGAGTGGACCCTATGTTTCAATGACGGTATTATTAGTATCTAGCGTCAATATCAGACGATGCGACAATTCATACCCAAATAAGACCCATAATGTCGGGTTTTACTTGCACGAACACTTCAATGACGGCGGCATATTCCTTGAGACCGTTGATGAGTGGGTCAATACGTTTTAACCCTCGGAGTGTCTTAGTCTTTGCTTGTTGCTTCTGTATCCTGATCGCTTCGTCGATTACATCGTCTGGAGAATTGATTTTTGAAAAGTCATACAAGGCCGGATTCTTGAGGCTTTTCTTGAAGTCTTCCTTCGCAGACGTGAAGGCATCGTCGAGCCATGATGAAGGAGTGGTTGCCATCGTCGTGATCTACCTAAAGCGCAACCGATGGTCGTGGCTCCAGGACATCATAAAAGACAATATAATACTAGCGACTTAACTCAGATAAGGGGTGGAAATAAACACTCAAAGATGTAACTATTGGGGAATTTTAAAGGATCTGCCTTATGATATGTTGTAGAGGCGGTGTTTGGGCAGCATGTATAGTCGGACCTATCAGCTACCGAATGGCTCACCTCGCAAAGGCAGGCTGTGTTATAAGCATGCAGTGTCACTCCAAGCAGAAGTTTCTATTGCAATAGCCTGCATAACGAAACCGCAAGAGAGTATGAAGGTTGCAGCGTAGATTTCGCCTGACGTAGATGTACCATGTTCAGGAACTAATGTGATTCCCTAGATTAGTGGTGACATCGTTGTTGTATTGTTGAGATTAGGATTATAAGGATTATGATCCAGCTATTGCTTATATATGCGTAGATGCTGGCAGCGACTGCCTCACTGTAGCTACGGATCCACACTAATAGGCAAATATATACATACCTGCAGTATTTCTTAGGGTGAGGAATAGGGGGGAGGAGTACTTAGATACTTGCGTACTTGCGATAAGATAAGAGAAAAGAGCATCAACTTCCTGCTCTTTACAACTTTACATCATTTGATACTTCCAACATGACTTATTATTCCATTGTGCTCTTGAACGCCTAACATTCATTCATAAAAAAGTATTCATGAGGGCAGCATGGTCGGTTGCAACGCAGCCACGCTCTCTGGCGCCGGTATTAGCCCGTCTTAGCCCTCGCCCGCCAGCACAGGGCCTATCATGGCATACAACACACCATTCCGCAGGGTCGCAGCGACGCCGCCTGCTATCTTCCAAGCCCCAACCCCAACCCCAGCCTCTCCTTACTCTCGCCATCGAGTCCTCATGCGACGACACGTGCGTCACAGTGCTGGAAAAGGACCGAGGCGTGGTGGGCCGTGGAGCAGCAGCGCGCCTCCTCTTCGACAAGAAGATCACGTCTGATAACCGCCAGTTCCGGGGCGTGCGCCCTATCACTGCCGTTGCCTCGCATACCCAGCACCTCGCGGGAATGGTGCGGGAAGCTATGCGCGCGTTCCCCGACGTAGGGCCAGAAGGAACTGGAGACGGAGCTGTAGGCGAGGACGACACAGTTTGGGTTGATGGTCGGCCGCGAAGAAAGCCCGATTTTGTCACGGTCACGCGCGGCCCGGGCATGATGTCCAACTTATCGACGGGCTTGAACACGGCTAAAGGACTTGCCGTCGCCTGGGGTGTACCGCTGCTAGCCGTTCACCACATGCAGGCCCACGCGCTCACGCCGCGACTAGTCAGCGCTCTCGAGGCCGGAAAGCGGGAAAGAGAGCAAGACGAACCGCCAAGTCGAGATCAAACCCCCGAACAAGCCTTCTTAACTCCCGCCTTCCCCTTCCTCTCCCTCCTAGTCTCAGGCGGCCACTCCCTCCTCGTCCTATCCCGCTCCCTAACCAACCACTCCATCCTCGCCGAAGCCCAAAACATCGCCGTCGGGGACATGCTCGACAAATGCGCGCGAGACATCGTCCCCGCCTCCGAGCTCGCCGCCAGCAGTAGCAGCAGCGGCGTCATGTACGCCGCGCACCTCGAGCGCTTCGCCTTCCCAGACGGCCCCTCCGACTACGCGTCGTCATACGTCCCGCCGTCCGCGCGCGCCCAGGAGATCAAGATCTACGACTCTGGGCTCGGCTGGAAGCTAACCCCGCCGCTCTCCGAGTCCCTCGGCATGTCCTTCGAGTTCGCGGGGCTGAACGGCCAGGTTATCAAGGTCATGATGGAACGCCCGGATATGGAGCTTGCGGAGCGCCGGCTTCTTGCTCGGCATACCATGCGCCTGGCTTTCGAGCATTTGGCAAGTCGGTTGTTACTCGCGCTTTCTAAGAGTGGGGTAGCGGATGAGGGGGAGGGAGAAGATAGTACGCTGCTGCGCGATGTCCGCACGCTTGTTGTGGCTGGTGGTGTTGCCAGCAATCGCTATCTGATGCATATCCTACGCACGATACTGGATGTCCGTGGTTACAGCCATATTGAGCTCGTATGCCCGCCGCTACCGCTGTGCACTGATAATGGTGCTATGATAGCGTGGGCCGGTATGGAGATGTACGAAGCGGGCTGGCGGAGCGAGCTAGATATCCTTGCTATCAAGAAGTGGCCTCTTGATCCGAATTCTGAGGATGGTGGTATCTTAGGAGTTCCGGGTTGGAAAAATGTGGAAAAGACAAAATCATGATACCCCTTTAGAAAGAAGTTTACTTGTGACCGGGGGAAAGCGGGCCATCTTGTACGACTACTATTTGTACTATATTGTATAGCATGGTATAGCATACATTGGAGTTAGGCTACCTACCTATCTAGGGGAAGCAATGCGAATCTAGTTGTAGAAAAGGGGCAGAAGGTCTTGACTCCTTAATTGTTGTACATTTACGCGGCGGATCCTGGGTAGTGACCCGGGGGACTTCGCCAAGATAGTTAGGTAATGAGATAGTCTATCAAGCTCTGTTTTGCACTTCCCCCCTTTCTCTCCTACCACATGCCAGCTGATGCTCCCTGATATCATCCAGTATGCACTTCGTAATAATTCATCCCTAACCAAAACCATGATTTAGTCCAGGGAGCTGGTAACGTTGGTGAACTCGCCCTTCTCTAACTTCGTCTTCCAGAATATCGGGTTCGTGTCGTTGAAGCCGTGCTTGACCCAACCCTCTTCCTTGACGTGGTATAGGTTAATAAAACCACCTGAGTACGCATCTCGGTGCGTGGCGGCCAAGATACTCCGGCGACCTAGTTCTAGAGCATCCTCCTCGCTCAAATCGTAGCGGTACTCGGCATCGAGTACACCGTAGGCGAATGTCTGGCCGGAACCAACACAGAACAGGTTTCCGGCAAGTCGGGTCCCGTCAGAGTCGATATAGTAGAGAGCGGGGCCCTCTTCCTTGGTGACGCCGGCGCACATGGTTCCCATAGACAGGCCCATGCCCTTGTACTGATAGACGAGGTTGGCGAGGATCTTGGAGGCTGCGGCGACGCTGATGCGGCGCTTGTGACGCAGCTCGTGCAGACGGCACTGCATGCCCAGCCAGGCGAGCCAGTACTGGCAGTCGGCGGCACCACCGGCCATAGTGCCCAACAGGCAGTTGTTAATTTCGATGACCTTCTTGACAGTCTGCGAGGCAATCCAGTTGCCGGCCGTAGCTCGAGAATCCGTCGCTACGATGATACCGCCCTGGAATCGGAAAGCGAGGGTCGTTGTACCGTGCGCGATCTTGATGGGACAGTCGGGGTTTGAGCGGTCGTCTGTTGCTGCACGGAGCCATGCTGAGGGCTAATTTTATTTTTAAGATTGATTAGCTTCGTTTGCTTCTACTTTCGCTTTCACTTTCTCTTCTCTCTTCTCTCTTCTATTTTTATATATAGGATATCACTTACTTGGGCTACAGGCGGCATGGCGAATTTAAGAGATAAACCCGGGGCGACATCATTCTGGAGGTCTTCTTGCTCTTCGTCTGCGAAGGTCTCATTCTGGAAGGCAGTCGGGCGACTGTACCTAGCTACGAGGGTATCCATGGCCGATATCTAGACGAGAAGGTAATATTCGGGACGGGTGCTAGAGGTAATTAGACAAATCGAACTGATGTGGTGCTTGTGCTTGTTGCAGGCGGATGGATGTTGGATGTGTAAGAAAGACTCTTGAGCACAGGGCAGCGGGAATCATTGACGATTGACGTCTGGTCTAAAGCTCAAGGCAGCTGGCCTCACGCGTCGTTGCTTTAGTTAGGTACCTTCCACTTAGTGCTCTTCCTAGATGGTCCAAGCTCCCATTGCAGGTACCTATGTACCTACCTCTTTACATCCCACATTCAATTATTAGATAATCAAGCATTGCATTACATAGGTATTGACCTAAGGTAGGTAACCTCATTCATCTTAGCATCTACAACCACAAGATCCCTTCTCTTCTTCATATCAAATATAATCATTAATTAGGTAAAAAGATATGGCCGCGCTCACTACAATTGAATACAGGTTACAGATATATACTCGTAGAGAAGATAGGGACGGCCGTTAGAAAGAGATAAATGAAATGTATAGGCGTCTATGTTAGCCAGGCGTGCACTGCCTGTCGTCTTTTTATACACCGTTTCGTGGCCACATTATGCCATGGTACACCGTGGGTGCGCTCAACTTTTTCTCTGTCGTCTCGAATAGATACTACTAGGTTGGGCTTTACTTCTAAATCTGTACTCCCCATCATCTCCATCTTTCACCCCTACTCCCCGAACCATTATTTCCCATCCCGTCCGTGATTTAGTAGTTTAGTAATTTAGTACACGGAAGGTCCGTGATACCCCGACTTTTCATTCTGTTGCCCGTAGTTGTAGCCATCATACCCACTCCCTACGCTCGGTTGCCGCCCGCCCGCACTTTGGTCTTGACCTCTAGTCGGTAGGCTTGGCGTCAAGGGTCTGCTGGTGTACGAAAGGCTTAATGGCGAGTAGGTATCAGATGGCTCGACAGCGACGCCCATATATGGATCCGGTGAAGGGGAGCGGCGGTCGAGCGGCTGCTTGATGTCCGATACAGAATTGGTGTATGTAATGGTGATTCTGGTCTCGTTGGTCTTCGAGCGATCCAGGAGTAGCGAGTTACGTGCGTCCAGAGGCGTCAAGGTGTCCATGTCACGCTGGTATTGTTCTGTAATCTCTGTTAGAATGCTGTTCCAAGTTCTATTTTGTGGGAAAGGCTGATTGTTTAACTTACCCATCTCCTTTCTGCGCTTGCGGTGAGGGTTTTGCTTGCAGCAGGCTATAATTGCATTCCATGCGATGAGGATTGCGAGAGTTCCAGCAAGAGCCGATTGGAGAGCAATTAGAACAACGCCGGCAACTGTCTGCGTGGTTTGGGCGATGCCGAATTCTTCGACAAAGACGAGAACGCAGATGAGCGAAAGAACACGCACAACCGCAATAGAGATGTTGATGACATTGCCAGATTTCCGCTCGAATGGTTTACTCCAGATCAATAAAGCCAACATTGACCCCTCGACGATTAAGAGACAGATTGACTGTGCCATACCATGACCATCGGTGGCGGCGAGGACGCAACCCTTAGCAAACATGTAGACAAGGACTGGCACAAAGATCCACCAGTAATCTTTCTTATACGACTCGTAGAAGAGGGAGTACTTGACCCAATGCTCCTTATCCTCGTAGAGGCGCGAAGTATCTCCCTCGCTGCTCTTGAGCTTATGCGCGATACTCCAGATCCTCCAGGAGAAGAAAGCTAGGATTGCAGTAAATAAGAGAAGAGTAACAGCGGCAAGTGTCTGGGCCGCCCAGGAATCCCCATGTGTGAATTGGAATATACAATACAGAACCCAGATGCTGTAGAGAAGCAGAATGAGGGATGTGATGGCACGAGCGATCGAATTCCAGTAATGCTTGCGGAAGCCAGTTAAAGATTCGGGAAAATGGCCATATAGGGACCAAGCCTCGAGGATAACCTTCAGTAACAAGATACCGACAACGATGACGGCAACGACGATGGCGACAATCAATAAAAGCGTCATAAAAGTGTTGGACTGCGGTACAGACAATTGCTGGGCGTATGCTTGAATACCCGAGACGGCTGCACGGATCGTCGCTTCGGTACCCGACGGTGTTTCTGCGTCGGTGCTCGTTGCGTTAAGTGACGATTCAGCATCACGAATAGCAAGGTGAACTACTTCCGCTACGGAACGACGGAAGAGCGAGCCCTTCGCACTCGAAGTTGTGCCATCAGAGTAGACGAGAGTAGCATTTTGGAGGAATTCAACACTGTCCCTGGTCAAGTTTCCACCCGTCATTCCTCGAAAGTTGTCGATAGAGACCTGCATGTCTCTCCATGGGATGATGCCCGTTGAGAAACCGAAGTTCTTCGTGAAGCTACGATAGACCTGTGGCGTCTGAACCGACATCATACCGTTCATCGCGAAACCTTGGAAAATGCCGAACATCTCCATGAAACTTGGGCTCATGGTACCTCCAGCACCGCCAGCCGCACCAGCTCCCCCCGCTGCACTGATGGCTCCGGCACCACTCATCAACAGAGCTACTCCCGCTACACCAGCGGCGACATACGAGACCGCGGGCACATCGGTCGTCTTGCCATTCGTTATTTGCGCTTGGACACAGGCAATTTCTTCTCCTGTATCTAAGGTCTTGAGCTTCAGCGTCGCCTGGGCTGCTATGTCGGGTATCTGGAAAGCAACAGCAGGAATAACACCAGCATACTGCGAAGGTATCGCCTGAGTTCCGCTTGCGGTGAAGACACCGGCCGGGGCTGTTCCTCTATTAGCATTATAACTTTCAGAAAATAAATAGATAATAGAAATTGCCGAGGCTTTCTAAGCATACCAGGACACAATGCATCGATGTATGTGGTCTCGTTGCAAGGATTAAAGGCATTTGTGTAAACATTTTGCCCGTACGCGCTTACGGAGAGCCATGCCGTTACATTTTGCCGTTTGTCGCTCGTGCCTACGATATCGAAAACCACGATCTTGTCGTCATTGTTATAAGAAATGTCCACCGTTTGGACCCTAACGCTGCTATTCTCCTCACAATTGTTGAATCCGTTTGTCACCAAAACATCGCTGCTCAGGACTCCGCTGGCAAATGCCGTTGCCCATATGACCGCTCGCCGGATATTCCACCTCGAATTCGATATCGCCATGCTGATCGGATTTTGTCTATATCGTAGAATAACCCAAGGAAATCGTGAGCCCACTGGGAAGCGGAAACTGTTCGTTATCTATATGTATGTTGCCTGTGTAGACGCCTGCCCAGCTGCGTGAAAATCAATCGCTAGATGCTGCCTGGTATACCACGGCGTAGATAGCCGTTTCTATGAGCCTATTAAAAAAGATGTATCGCTTGTAAAAAAATAAACCGGATCGAAGAAAAGGCGTTCGTCCGGAGTATATGATGACTGATGACTTGTTGGATGGATAACCGTCTTAAGAGTTTGATGTAGTTACATAGAAATGCTTGCTGTACGGTAAAGAGCACAATACCGATGAGGCGGTCTTGTTGCCTAAAGAAAAAAGCATGCAAATAAAAAGACGGCCAAGGATCAACCTGTGGTAAGAATGAAAAATCGGCAACAAGACGTTCTCCGAAGAATGAGTGAAAGGATAGCAGGACCCAGGACCGTTCCTAGATATGGAAGACGAACGGGCCTGGGACGCGTTGTCAACGATGACGAGAAGGTTGACGATAGTATGTGAGAGAGGGTCGGCGTCGGAGTTGGCGCATATATGAAACGACTTCTTACTTGGAGCAGTAAACGAGTGTGGGTGAAAATATCACTAAAAGACGACTTTGAAAACAGAAGGTTGTAAAAGGCGCCAAAAAGGAAAGACTATGAAGGTCAAAGCAGGTTTGGTTGGTGAGAGGAAGCCAAGCTCAGAAGATGCTGCACCTCGTCCACAACCCCTGAAGAGATCTCTGCTTGATGAAAAGAAGCGACCGTTGACTGGCTGCGCGTACACTAGCGTATACCCCCTGTCCAAGTTGAACATTCGAGGCCAATACCCCAGTCTAGCTACCCCTGTCGGAGCCATCATTGTGGAGCCTAAGTGGAGCCCGGTTCAAAAAGGTGCGACAGGGGGGCTTGAGGAGGCTAGGCCGAGAAAATCCAGATGAAACCGACCTCCTTGGCAGATTATTGGATGTGCGGCAAGCTCCACGGTCAAACTAACCCGGATTGAGGAGCTAGATTGTCAGCCATCTTGGAATTTCGAAACATGGCGAGAAGAAGTTGGTAAATGAGTAGCGCTGCGCTCCCTCAAACGACGGCTGCCATAATCTACCGAGGTAGGCAAACATACATTTAGTTAGGGTGCTTGTATAAAAAGCATATATCTAATACATATATCTAGTATGTATACGGTATCAAAAGGGAAGCAAGATACATGTGTGCATGTGCATTAGTTTGTATGCAGAACATTAATAAAGTAAGTGATACATTAGGTACGTAAGGTAGGCATGATTACGGATTATAGAGGGGCTCATTTACTCGACCAAGAACAAAGTAATTCCAGGTTGAGATTGAGAGGATGAATTTGGTTGGTCAGAAAAGGAAAAGCGAAGGGAGGAAATTAAAGTCATTGGCCAGAAATTGTTAAGTCATCTCCAGAACTGCTTGTGAGAATGAACCGCCACCAGGGGGGATTGTCAGCCAGTCAGCGCAGGGGTGGTCTCAACTTCGGCTTCCAAAATTCCAAGCCACGTTCAAAACAGGGAGTTATGTATGTTTTCTATGTATCAGTGCTCGAATACGATGTCTTACGTATGTACATACCTTTACATAGTATGTACTATTGTACAAACGCATAAAAGAAAGGGGAAACACTCTTTCCAAGTTATTCTTCGCTCCGTCTTCTTCTCGACGTACGTAACACGAGAATGATCTACGATTCTATTTCCTTTCTTTAATTTTAGAATTATTCACTCAGGGATCTTGATATATATGTATAGGTTCATCTTATTATTGAACCCTAGCGATCTAACATGACGACGAACCGTCTATCCTGGACCTGGCCATATGGGAGGGACATGGATATTGAGAACATAATTTAATGTTATTATGCATGTCTTCAACGCCAACACCATGTCGCACGATGCACGATGCACGATGATGTCCGATGGGAGCGCCAAAAGAATCCATCAGCCTCCCACTTTAAATATATTCTCAGGGCAAC